CGTTGCTTGAATTTTATTGAAGAAAATGATGAAATTCTGGTTGCTGGATTTGGCCGAAAAGGTCATGCTGTGGGTGACATTCCTGGAGTCCGCTTTAAGGTCGTTAAAGTAGCCAATGTGTCTCTTTTGGCTCTATACAAAGGCAAAAAGGAAAGACCAAGATCATAAATTTCAATGATAAAAACACAATAGTAATAAATTTTCATAGTCTGAAAAAAAAAGATCAAGTATAATTTTGGCCTAATACGATTTGTCCTTTCAAACAACTTTAAATTGTAACTTTGAGAGCAGATACCAACAGAGCAGATTTTGAATATTGAAATATTAACTTTCCCTATTCATCTTAAAAATAGCTATATTTTTCATATTTCAAAATTTATTATAAAACCATCTTTAAACTATCTTTTCAAGAAAAGACTTAAAACATTTAAAACTTTTTCATCTCAAAGTAAAACTGTTCTTGTTGACAGAAGAATATCATATATATCTAAGTACATACTTAGAACTAATCCTTTGTGGCTTCCTATGGCTCTGTAAGAGATACATATAGCATACTTTTGGTTTTACAAGAGGCTTAATATTACACAAACTAATCAAGTGCAAAGACTTTTTCTGGTTCCAGGGATTAATCACATAACCCAGCTGTGCCTTAGATATTTGAAGTTAAGAAACAACAAAACTGGGGGAAATAATCCTTTTCCCTTCTTACTGTTGCCTAGATTTTCTAGCTGCTATTCATTTCTTAATTAGGCTTGCACTATTTGTGTCTGTGTGTATATGTGCTAGTCGTGGGGTTTGAACTCAGGACCTGGGTGCTGTCTCTGAGCTTTTATGCTCAAGGCTAGTTGAACCACAGCTCCACTTTCTGGTGGTTAATTGGAGATATTTTCATGGACCTTCATGCTAGATTTGAACTGAGATGCTCAGATCTGTTTCCTGAGTAACTAAGATTACAGGAGTGAGCCACCAGCACCCATCCCAGCATTGATGTTCATAATGCTCTCTCATTAACCACATTATTTAAAACCACCTTATTTATTCAGCCTGCCCTTTTTCAAACTGTTATGTTCTCTGGGGATAAAAGCATGAAGGAGAGTCATTTTCGAAGATTTACATCATATAGTAAAGAAATTTGTCCAAGTTCTACTTGTGTTTCCAAAGCTTTTGGTATCTGATGGTAGAACCTCTTTTAATAGGCTTGAGAAATGCAGAACTGTCCTTACATATTTATTTCAAAATGAAATCAATCAGACTGATCCTATAACCAGATGCAAACATAAACACAATCATTCCTAAGTAGAATCAAATTTCCTCTAATTTAGAAACAGGGGGCTGGGAAGGTGGCTCAGTGGTAGAGCGCTTGCCTTGCATGCATGAGGCCCTGGGTTCGATTCCTCAGCACCACATAAGCAAAAAAAAAAAAAGCTGGACATGGCTCTGTGGCTCAAGTGGTAGAGTGCTAGCTGAGGGATAGCGCCCAGGTCTAGATTTCAGGCCCCATGACCGGACCCCCCAAAAAAACATAAAATGTTAAGTATCCCTTGTCACTTTGCTATACCTTGTAATGAAGAAGAAGGGTGTGGCACTTTTTAAAAGTATATCAATATTGGGCTTCCAAGTCACAGCATTTAAAGTTCATTTCTAGTTTCCTTACTCTAAAGAACATTTCTTTTTGGACATCCTTTGTTATAATTTTTTAAACCTAATATGTTAGATGCTGAAAACATTACATAACACTATGGCTCAAGATTCTAATATACCAACCAATGTTTGTTACAGGAAGCCTGGGGATTGCTTATTTCCTCCCCCCCCCCTCAATAAAACAAACTAGCAATAAAAAGGGTACATATTAGTTTTCAGAATTTTAGAATTAGACAGGCTTTTTTTTTTTTTCGGTTGTGGGGCTTGAACTCAGCCTGGACACTGTCGCTCAGCTCTTCAACTCAAGGCAAGCACTCTACCACTTCAGCCATAGTGCCATTTCCAGTTTTCTGGTGGTTATTTGGAGATAAAAGTTTCACAGACTTTCCTGTCTGGGTGGCTTTGAACCACACTCCTCAGATCTCAGCCTCTTTAGTAGCTATGATTACAGGTTTGAACCAAGGGCACCCAGCAGACAGGCATTTTTTAAAGTAATATTCCGGGGGCTGGGAAGGTGGCTCAGTGGTAGAGCGCTTGCCTTGCATGCTCAAGACCCTGGGTTCAATTCCTCAGCACCACATAGCAAAAAGAAAAAAGCCGGAAGTGGCGCTGTGGCTCAAGTGGTATAGTGCTAGCCTTGAGCTGAAGAGCTGAGGGACAGCGCCCAGGCCCTGAGTTCAGGCCCCACGACCGGACCCAAAAAAAAAAAAAAATAAAGTAATATTCTGGATGATAATTCTTTCAACAATAGTACTATTTTTACAATGAGAGAAGAGAATCCCCAACCTCAATATTCTCTATTTATTCCCTATATATACACAAATCCAAAATCTTGCTGCTTGCACAATAATGAAAAGGCTATATAAATGTTTTTCAGGAAAAGTCTAAGAACATTAGTTTGTTAAGCAAAGAGAAACTACATTAAGACTATGAAATTGTAGAAAAACACTTTAAAGATCCAAATACAGTGACTTCTACCTGTATTCCAAGCTACTCAAGAAATGGAGATGGACAGAGTATCTGATTTTAACCAATGATCTGGATATGGTGTTTCACACCTGTAATCCCAGCTGGGAGGTGTAGGTATGACTGTGGTACAAGGCTGGACCAGAGCAAAAATGCAAGATCATACCTGAAAAACTAAAAGTATGGCTTAAGTGGTAGGATTTGCCTGCCTAGCAAGTGCAAATCCTAGAGTTCAAACCCCAGTACTGCCAGGGGAAAAAACGTGTTAAATAAGTACTTTTAACTTGTCAAAACAGAACCTGTGAAGCCACTGAACTAAAAACTATATCCTAGCCAGGCACCAATGGCTCATGCCTGTAATCCTAGCTACTCATGAGGCTGAGATCTAAGGATTGCAGTTCAAAGCCAGCCCAGTCAGGAAAGTATGTGAGACTTTAATCTCCAATTAACCACCAGAAAACCAGACATAGGGCTGTGGCTCAAAGTAGTAGAGCACTAGCCATGAGCAAAACAGCTCAGGGACAGCTTGTCAGGCCCCAAATTCAAGCCCCAAGACTGACAACAACAAACTATATCCTCTGGTTCAGTACTTTTACTTTTTCTACAAATGTGATTTTTTTTTTCCATTTGGCAGCACTGGGGGTTGAACTTAGGGCCTTGTGCTTGCTAGACAAGCCCCCTACCACTGAGCCACCTTCCCAGCCCTTGATTTTTTTTTTTAAAAGCACACATCAATTATTTCTATGAATAACATCTACAGACACCCAAACATATGTGAGATATCTTAACTTAGTTTCTCTTTTAAAATGTGCTCTACCAGATAGGGATGGTGGTGCATGCCTATATTCCTAGTTTTAGGAGACAGAGAAGGGAAGATCTGGACACCGAGCTGGCTTGTTTCAAAGAACAGACATGCGGATGGGGAGCAGGGGGTTGGGTAGGGAGGAGCAGGGCAGAAGATTAGAAGCTCTGCAGACTCATGGGACCAATGGGTTAATTTCAATGCTAAATATAACATGCATAACACAAACCAGAACAATCTATACACCGAATTATTTTCATTACCTAGTTTCAATGGGTTGATTACACAAACAGCAAGAACTGATAACCTAAAAAATAGCATTCAGTATTTTCAAATAAACCTTATCAATTCTTAGTTTCTCAAATTTGTGAAACTGTCCTAATCTTAAAAGTATGCTTAGCTATAATAGAAATTTGTTACCTTTAAGAAATCTAGCCTGTTCAACATGTCTAATTTATTACCCTCCACACCCCCCATAAAAAGGGACAAAATCCAGGACCTATTTATAAAACATATCAAATTTTATTTCAATAACTTCATTTTTAAGTAAGAGCTTTGGACAATTACTCTTTATCAGAGGCGAAGAAAACAATATAAGCTATTAAATATTGCAGTGAGTAAAATTACTGGAGCATGCATTTAGAAAAGCCATGTTTGATAGACAAAAGTTCTAGTATTACTGCTTAACTGAAAGACCTTTTAGCTCTGTATTCTAATTATAGCTCATTCTTATTTATCTAGTTCATACAATCACTACTGTGTCCATCAAAATTTTTCTCAATTTTAAGCCTTTCTGAACACTTAGGAAATATGACTTAACTCCTTGGGAACTCTTTAAAATAATCAGAATTTTTAGTTTCCACAAACTTGATCATAAACATGTTGAAACTTATGATATCAATACATGAGTCAAAAAGTGTTAAATAAAACCAAGAGTGCTATATGAAAACTAGCAGATTATCTGATGACATTTTAACTTTTTCAAAGCTCTAGTTAGCATTAAAAAAAAAAACACAAAAACTGATTCTAAGGTTTTAGCATTTGGCATTTTTAGTGCAAGCTTTAAAACACAATGTTACTCAACAACTCATCTAAGAAAGTGGCAGTGTTCAAAAATACAAAAATTGTTACATCCAGTAGATATTTTACAGTCAAGATAATAAATCTTTATAAAATTAGGTTGAGAAACACATAATGTCTTCATAATTACCACTTGTCTCAAAGACTAACATCAGAAAAATGCAGAAAAATAGATGTTCTTGATTAATATCATTTTGCTCTGAAAAAACCAGACGTAACTCCATTCCAGTTAGCAATAATGATAAAAATATGATTAATAAATATATTGTATGTCTTGAAGCCAAAACAAACTTTCTACCAACAGAGCAATTTTGACTTATACATTCCTAGCATCCTTGGTCCAGAAGAAGGCCCATCTTAAACCATTATTTAAATGGAGTGCATAAAGTCATTATTCTCCACAGGATGTTTCACTTCTGTACATCATCTGCAAAATGGCAAATCACTAAGTCACTGATAAAGAATCTGTACTGCCTGTTGAGTATTCCTTTTCCAAAATGCTTGGAACAACATCATTTCCACTTCATCTAGCCTAACTCAATACAACCTGTTACAAGGTCGTATATGGAATTTTCACTTGTGAATCATGTCTGCACACAAGAAGTTTCAGATTTTGGAACATTTATGATTTTTGATTTTCAGATTAATACAATGCACTTATCATGTCAATAGATACCAACAAACTTTCACACACAAAACTAAACATTACTGTAATATTGAGGTCAGAACATGATTCTTTTATATACTCAGATTTAATTTACTATATGATCCTATGATGAAATCCACACACTTAATGAGTCCAAAGCTGCGTAATGTTCCAAATGATTCTCCTCTAGGTGCAGAGCTTGTTCACTCCTTCAATCCTTTTTTAGTCTTTTAGCTTTTGCAATATTTTCTTGTCGTTTTTGTTTCTTCTTTTGCTCCTTCTCTCTGGCTTCAATCATTTTGGCCAATTTCCAGGATAGAACAGCACTTGCTAGGAACAGTGGGGTGAGAGCCAAAATAACTGTTGTAAGGAAACCATAAGGGTCCTTGGCAGCCCATTCCACAACATATTCAGCCCAAGCCTTTACGTCAAACATCTTCGTAGCAGTCTTAGGAAACTGGGGCAAAGAACAACAAAAAGAATATATGATTAATCAAAATTTGAAAATGTTTTATCATACAACCAGATAGCTCAAAATTACAATGGTTACTTAAAAGAGTTCTTTTGAAGTATTAATTAGTACAATTTTAATAAAAATGAGTATCTCCTGTTAGGAAAAAATAATTCAGCTAAGACAACCAAAATGACACATAAAGATGTAAATTTACAGAAAAACCAAAAACTATTTGTCCTAGGTGATAGGACTATGTTTCCTATGTTTAAGACATAGTTTATATGGCAGCAGGCTTTTTGAGTTTCATACACTCATTTCAGGAAAGATCTGAATCCTGTGTCATTTGTTGACATACTCTTAGTACCACTAAATACTAGTTAACAAGGGTATAAACAACTTTCACATTTGAAAAGGACAAGCCACAAGTCATGAGAGGAAAAGAGGTGATAGCTATTTCCAGCAACGGAAAAGAGGAAGGGAGCTGTGATCATAGTCATATCCATGTCAATAGGTATAAGCAAAAAGGGGCGTGCTATTTTATGTCCTTTCAGCCTTAAAGCCCCAATACCATAAGTACAATTTAGTGAGAAAAGTAGCTATAAGTAGGACCATACAGTAGTTAGTAAGAGAAAGGACCTGGAAATGAGGATAGCAAAGACTTGAGCTACATTTCCTGTCCTCCTACCTCCCCAAGCTTTCATACCTTTCATATTTGGGTCCACCCTTACTCAATCAGAGGCTTAATTAGAATTAGAATACCTGTACAGAGAATGAGTGTGTGTCCCTCCACTTAAGATTTAAAGTCATCTACCTTATGTTTGAGTAGTAGTCTCTAATTTTGTCCTGGGATTATCAGTGAGCCAATCACAATTTCAGATGACCCCTGGTTGTCGTCTTCTTTTGTTCTATCATACACTTCTGATCGGTTTAAATTTCTACACAATGGTTGAGTTGATATGGATAAAAGAAAAAAACACTTAAGTTACAACTTTCAGGACAAATGTAAAATTTTAAATGGAAAGTTTCTAAACTCTATGGAACATATTAAAGACATGTAAAATTGCCTGTCAATTATAAATATAATACCTACTTTCCTAATTTGAGTTTACTGCAATTGCGAATGTCCAGTAAGAAAATCCTACCCAAAGTTGGGTGAGGTGGTAGTAAATGCCTCTAATCCCAGCTACTCCTGAGGCAGGTATCAGAAGGATCACTGGCAGAATTTGAGGAACCCCCCCCATCTCAACAAACCAAGCAGGGAGTACAGAATAAATCTCAAGTACTGGCAGGATCTTGGTTAGGAGCTAGCTCCAGGCAAAAATGCAAGAGCCTATCTGAAAAATAAAGCAAAGGGGTTGGGGGGGGAGGGGTGGTAAGGGTGTGACTCAAGTGACAGTGCACCTGTATGACCAGTTCAAAGCCCGGTACTAGGGGTGGGGGTGTCGCGAGCCAGGATCCTAGTCAGTAGAAATAAGTATTATTTCAATAATAAAAGTATCTATGACGTTCACTGACTTATAAAAAAAGTCAAGCTGACTCGCAGATGTAAAGGGCATCCTATCCATTCAGCCTGAACTTTTTACATTAAAAGTTTCCATTCACTCGATTAGGTACACCGCAGCAAAGTAAACACCTTGCCTTATTCCTGAAAGGTTTTTATTGTCTAGGGCACAATGCGTGTCTTTAGAGAAAAGCACAAGAAAACCTAAACAAATCACAAAACGCCCCCCACTCGCGTTACACATCTGGAAAACAGCCACCGTTCTAGCTAGTCGTTTACACGGTCTCCTCTCGTGTTCAACACAAACCACGTCTCTATTTTCAACCGGAGACAAAATAAAATGCCTAAGCTGTTAGAGATCCCAACCTTGCTTCAGGACGCAATCACAGCCAGGTTCTGGAAGACCGCCCCTCTCTCTCCAGCCCGGCCAGGAACGGGGCAAGTTTCCGGGGGAAGCCAACGGGCGGAGCGGAGGAGAAGGCCCCGCTTCCCGGCAGGGTCCGCCTCAGCACCAAGGCCGCCGCCG